AACCAAATAAAAAGACAGTGTAAGGCAGTTGTTCAAATCCCAGTTGTTTAAGCTTCCCTTAAGCTTACGGAAGTACTGGTGATTTCCGGGGACCCTCAGTCGTCGGTATACCCCAGCAGGTTTGGTCTGGTAAGTCCTTAGGAGTTCCGTTGCCAGCAGTTTGGGTGTCTTGAAAAGTAATAAAGTTGTGATTCGTGACAGGCATCTGGCTGTTCATTCTGACTTCATGAATCCAGACTCAGCCTGTCAGGATGATGGAAAAGGCATGCTCCCGAGCAAGCACTGTGAAGAGATGTGGATGTTGAGAAAGGAGAGGGGAGCCTGAGGCAGTGCAGAGAGGTTGAGAACCACCTCCACAGTGGCCCTCAGGCTCTGCCAGGCTCTGGCCAGCTCTTCTCTGGGCCACTTGCCGTTAGAAATGAGGACACCCCAGGAAGGCTGGCTCATCCTCGCCTGGAAGAAGCAACTGCCCAGGGCTGTGGGAGGTGTCTTCCCAGTGGGCAGCCAGGTTCCAGCCCCATGTGGGTGTACCAAGAAGACAGGCAGGGTCCAGGAGGCCCCTTCCAGACCACTTCAGTCCCCAAGGGAGGCTCTGCAGGGTCTACAGAGGCTGTAAGCACCATTTTCCTGCAGAGGGTCTGGGAGAGGCCCCTGAGCTTTAAAGGTATCGGTGTGTATGTTCACTCTTTCGAACTGAAATTAGCCAAGTAAATCCTGCTTGTCTCTGTGTGAGCAGATGGAGAGAGAAAAAGAGGGAGAGACAGGGAGAGGCAGAGAGAGAGAGAGAGAGAGGGAGGGAAACAGAGGAAAGAACGTCGAAGGGTGGAGACAGGGAGAACTAAAGAGAGACGGGGAGTTTTGGGGAAGGAGAGACAGATGAAGGTGGAAGTGGAAGAAGGGAAAGATGAAGGAAACAGAAGAAAGGCCGAAAGATTTTTAGACCTCCCTAATTGTGATCAGTCCAGGGTAGGTGTGGATGGTGAACGGAGCATTCTGACAGCAGGCTTCTCTTCCCAGTTCTCCTAGAGGGACAGACATGGACAGCTTCTGTCACTTTGGCCCACACTTATCTCTGCATCTATTTCCCCTTGTGCAAGATTCAGAACGGCTTGCTCCAAAGAAACAATAAAAGCATTCATGGTTGTAAGAATCGTGCAGGTGAAAGTTAGTTTGCTGATACTGCTGTGTTTTCTGCTGGCAATTCTTGTAGCTCTTGCCTGAAATCATTTGGGTCTCCCATGTGAAGCAGAAAATGGCATGTGAAATAGTGATTCCTTCTGGCATCTCCCTTGACCACCTCCTGATCCTGGTTTTCACTTAGGTGACAGTTTGCAAAAATGTGCCATTAATTCGCTTTTGTAACGCACGCCTTTACTGAATGCAAGGTCCATTTTACTTGCACCTATGTCAAGCTGAAATTGCACTTGCTTCCTGCAGTGCTTCCATACAGGAGAAGCAAGATGCAGAAAGTGCTTTATAAAATAGGTACAGCACCTGCAGTGCATCATGAGCGGAGGGTAGTTGAAGACACCCTGACTTCAGGACACCCGGATGGCTTCTGGGAGCGGGGTCTCAGAAGGGGCCGGCTTCCCTTTTTCTCCAATATTATTTCGTAAAAGTCACTTTTATGGAAAAGTCACTGCTTTTTCATCCCCAGAGATGCAAATTTGAAGTTTGGGGAAGTTTTCTGGAGCTTGTCAGGTCTCCGGCTATGACTGCAGATAGGCAGGCCCACAGAACTGGCAGGGCCCAGTGCAGACTGAATGGTTCAGGAATGATTAAGAGTTTCAAAATGGTGATCAAGTATCACGCCAAGCTAGGGACCCTGGCAAGCATAGGCCCCCGAGGGACAGTCACAAGTCCAAGAAGCTCCCCGATGTCAGAGACGGTTAGGTTGGGAGTGAGTTTGGCAATTGAAGCAGGGTGGATGGCAGAACCAAGGACACTGACCCTGGCCTGAGGCTCTCGTGGAGTGCCTGGGGACAGGCAGCCTGTGTGCACAGACGCTCCGCCCCTGGGCTCCCTCCCTGTGACCCAAGCTGTCCCAAGGCCTTAGCTGCTGGCTGGAAACTCACTCTGGGAAGGAGTTGTCTGTGGCACCTTCAGACACTCTTCTCCCAGCTCCCTTCTAGAGACACATGCATACACATGGCCTTGAGATGACAGCCCCAGGTAAGGGGGTTCCCGCAGAACAGAGCCTGGAGCGGCTCATTAGGATTTTGGTCCATCATGTGTTCCCATGTCTCACTGCCTGAACAGACAAGCAGGAACAGTGGAACTCAGCCTCCATTAACTCTCTTCCTGTGCAGCAAACCCAATAGGCTACCAGCCCTCTGCTAGGAGGGGCTTTTCCCGGTGCTACGTACAGGTGCTGCACAGGCTGGGCTTGCAGGAAAACTTCTTCCTTCTTTTCTTTGGAGATAGTTTGACTATGCAACAGTAAAGTGTTGTTTAAATAAATCAAAAAATGATGAAGATGATGTTTGGGGAAAGGAGTTCTTCCAAAAGTTTGTGGAAATTGCATATCATATATACACACACACACATACACACACATATATGAATTTCGACGTTTCTTTGGACCAGAACAAACTCATACTTAACTTCATCTTTCCACGAACTTTTTGAAGCCCCCCCTCATGTTTGTTAAATAAAAAGATATGTGTAGTACAAGATTTGTTAGAATAGTATCTTTGCTGTGCTTAGTCTTTTATTTATTTATTTATTTTTAAAAAGCACAGACCCACCTCTTTACACACAGAAAGTAATTCGTAGTCCAAGTGGTGGAAATGACAGACTTACGTAGTTTTTTAAAAAGAAGTAAAAAAATAAATCATGAAACGGTAGGTATTTTATTTTTTTTTAAAGCAGTTGTAAAACAACCTATCATTTATGTAGCAAAGTTTAGTCAACACTATGGAAGTTCAGTGCCGGTGGTGGTTGCCACCAGATCTGAGTTCTGCGTGCTTCACCGAACGACACACTTTCGGGCCACTTTGAGCTGGTTTGTGACTTACTGCAGTCAGATGCTGCGCTCGTCCTCGGAGCCCCCAAGAGCTGCCGTCTTCACTCGCCTCTTACTGCCGCACAGTGATCACAGAGGTTTCTCTCAGTCTGTCCGCTTTCTTTGCCATTGTTGTGACAGTTTCAGAAGAATCGTAGCTTTTTGCTTTTTCTGTAGTGAGAACGTAGGAGACCCTCGACGTGTTTTACCCTTTTGGTAATCCATGCGCTGGTTTTGTGTGTGCTCCCGAGGCTGGCTTGTGTGGTCTCAGGTGGCCCCTGACTCTGGGACCAAGGCAGTGTGGGGCCATGAGCCTTTTTCTCTTCTGTGGTCACTGGTGGTCCTCTTCAGCCACATGCTAGTCCTGAAAGCGGGTGTCACAACTCAGACACAGTGAAGTGTCTTTCAGAAATAGGTGAAAAACACTCCTTTTCCACGGAAAGTGACTCTCATGGATGTCCTTTTCATGACTAATACTGATATTCCTAAAATGAAAATACATACTCCATCTGCACCATAGAAGACATTAAGGAGACACACATGCCTCCTTCCCCCCACACACACACACACACATAGGGTCTTCAAAAGGTTTGTGGAAAACGTGTATTATGAAAAACTGTGTTTTCTTTTTTTTTTTTTTTTTTGCACCAAAATAAACTTATATTTCAATTCCATTTTTTCCATGGACTTTTCAACCCTCTCCCTCACGTATTACACACATATATAAAACTTCTGCCAATGCAGAGTTTCCAGCCTAATTGGACAGGACATGGCCCTTGAACCTTCCATCAATTTCAAGGTCTCTGCTGAAAACAGGCCTCAGCTCAAATTCATGCATCTGAACCAAAGAGACAGATGGAGTCAACACCAAACCAAACTGAAGGGATGGGATGAGGGCACCTGGTCTGGGTCCAGCAGCCAGACTCAGTGTGCTGGTTGGTACAAGTTAGTCAGCAGGTCATACACGAGCAGATTCACTGAGGTCACCTGCTGCTGCTACACGTTTCTTATCATCCACGGAGCTACCAGAGGTCATCAGCTGTGGGCACCCGAGATCTTCCGGTTACACGCCAGGGCCATGACTGCAAACCACAGCCCCCCTTGGTTTCTACCCCACCGACGCTGGGCTGGGGTGGGGGTCTCTCTGGGGTCTGCTGTGGCTTGCAGTGGGATCTGTGGAACTTGTAGTCTGGCTACCAAAGGGCAGCATCTTCCCGGTTGAGTTTTTTTGTTTGTTTGTTTCTTCATTTGTCTTTTTTTATTTAAACCGATCTGAGGAGGCAGCCATCTGTCCGCAAAACAGGAAGGCTTGGGCGCTCTCCTGAGCTTGTTTCGCTGTCCTGGTGAGCTTCACTTCTCCCCATGTAGGAGTGCTGGCGAAGTCGGAGGAGGCAAGGGCTAGAAAAAGTGAGGGACAAAGACAGAAGCGCCCGTGTTGCCCATCTGCCAGACTGGAGGTGTATTCATTATTGATGGAGGTAGTGCGGTTGCCGCTCAGCTATGCAGGCCTGCCTGGGTAAATGAGACATTCTTCAGCAAATTGCTTCGTTTTTTGATTGCTGATTGTACGCGTGTCACCAAGCTGACTCAAGGTTCATCGATGCATGCTCAGTAAATTAGAAAGAACATAACTATGGATCAGCCAAGAGAATGAATTCTGTGCCTACAATGACCCAGGGCCATTTAATTTTCTGCTTAATTTTGTTGCAGTCAGTTTGCATTTTGGGTTATTATGCAGTAGGAAATTAACAATAAATAACAAATTTGGTCCTCCTGTGCTTGTAATGATATTTTTATAAATCTTTGTAATGCTGTTTTTAAAAGGATCAAGGTCTGTGCCCGTCTGATACTCCAGCAAGTATGTGAGGAAGAAAATGCATTTTTCTTGTTAGATAACCTTGTTGTTCAATAGCTCAGGGGTTCTTTATCTCGCTTTCTCTCTCATATCTTACTAGTATTTTTGCTTTCAACTAAAACCCCTTCCTCTCTTTCTCAGATAACCTGAGGACAATGGATGCTGATGATGGTCAAGACATGTCCCAAGTTTCAGGTGAGACCTTGAGAGATTTCCTGTGTGGGGAGTCCAGGAAAATGGCTCTGCTGGGTCGAGAAATTAAGGTCCTTGCTCTGCTCATGGGGAAGGGAGAAGGGGTGTTTTTCAAAAGAAAAGACCAAAATCAAATTTATATCCAGATTTCCTTCAACTCTTGAGATTATCCTAGTTTGAGGACCTGAACAGAAAAATCTCCCAAGATGGAATTCATTTTACTACTAAATTTCAATGCAACTTGTAAAGAATTAAATATTTATTTGTTCTTTTTTTTTGGGGGGGGGTGGAG